CTAGCTAGGAGCTTTAAAACGTGTTATTGGACTAAAATAGTACTTCAAATTTCAACAAATTTAACACAGTGCATTGATAAATGTGATTGAGTATATTAAGAAAATTTACTAACTATATAGGGACTAGAGCGATAGCACAGCGGTAGGGCGTTTGCCTTACAAGCGGCCAACATGGCTGACCCGAGTTCGAATCCTCAGCCCCTCTCGGAGAGCCCGGCAAGCTACCGAGAGTATTTCGCCCGCACGGCAGAGCCTGGCAAGCTACCTGTGACGTATTCGATATGCCAAACACAGTAACAACAAGTCTCATGATGGAGACATTACTGGGTCCGCTCAAGCAAATCAATGAACAATGGGAGGACCATGACTGTGACTAACTATATAAAAAAATATTCTTGTTGAAGGTCTGGAAAAGTATTATAGGAGGAAAGGTTCTTGTAACTGACCTGGCATTGATTATTCGCACTACAAATTTTCCCTGAATTCCTCATGAATTGATTTCTGAGCACAGTGCGGAAGGGGACCTTAAACATTGCCAGTTGTGACCCAAAAATTTGACAGCAGAATTTTCAGTGTATGTTTATCTATCCTTTAGATGATAGGTAGCTTATATTAAACTTGTAAATTTAATTTAAAATGTTTACTGAAGTCCAATTTTGAAAGATTCTTATGGAGTTAAGAGCACAAAGGAATAAATGTTGTCAAACTTATGATTTAGTAGAATGTTTGTCTAAATAAACAAAGTGTTTTCTCTGCTTTTCATAAATTACCTGTATTATAGGAATGATAAGATCTATATGTCAAAATTTCAAAATATAATTTAGATTAATACGTGACATTAAGTCAATTTTCTTAAAAGCAAATAAACTTTCTGTGCACAGATTCTTCTCTTGTTAAAAATAAACAGCATGGGGCTGGAGCAATAGCAGCGGGTAGAGCGTTTGCCTTGCACGTGGCCAACCTGGGTTCAATTCCTAGCATCCCATATGGTCCCTCGAGCACCACCAGGAGTAATTCCTGAGTGCAGAGCCAGGAATAACCCCTGTGCATCACTGGGTGTGACCCAAAAAGAAAAAAATCCTTTAATTAGAAACTATACAGAGTTATACAAGAAAAACAAGATACCACAAAGAAATATGGAAAAAGAAGATGATATGGCTCAAATGGTTGAGCACAGTTGTGCACGTTGCAAGGCCCTGAGTATTCTCCAACTGCCAGCACCACTTCATGATCCATCTCCTTCCTACGCTGCTGGCTGTGGCTCCCATAGCATTTTTCCAAATGAAGTTAAAACCTAGCGGTAGTGTTAGATGAGGGCCTGTCTTCCGACAACTTTACTTTTCTTGTTTTCACATTTTTTCCGAGTTCCCAGTTAGACAAAAGGGATTTATATGCTCGGTAACAAAATGATAACATTAGCTCTTCATTTGTCAATAATTCCAGATTTAGTTTTCAATATAACATATTTAAAATATTTCTCTCTGTAGACTAATTTGTACAATAGCAAAGTGATTTTCTGATACCATTGGGATAATTCTAAGTCATTATATAGTTAAATCTAACTTTATTTTCACATGCCTACAATCATGTAAAGAAACAAAGCCAATAAAGAGTAAGGAAGTTGCTGGAGAAATAGTATAGCTGGTCAGGAACTTGCCTTGCATGTGGCCAAGTCAGGCTCCATTTCCAGCATCCCATTTGGTCCCCTAAGCCTTCCTGGAGTGATCCCTGAGAGGAGAGTCAGGAGCAAGCCCTGAGAACCTCTGAATATAATGAAAAAAACAAGCAACAAAAGAATAGAGAAAGCTGCTTAATGAGAAATTTTCCTATTATGACTAAAAAGCAAAACAAATGTATCTCATAGTTGATTATTATACTAAATGACGATTAGAGATACATTACAGGAAAAATTGTTAATGTCGGTGGGTATTTTGCATCTGGAAACTGTCCAGTAATTGCAAGGCTATTAAATAAACTTATGATTAAACAGATGTCTGATATAGTGACATTATAAATTTATATAGCAAATCCTCATATTTCTACCACAATGCTTCATTTAAAATAAATATGACTTAAGTTTGATTTTGAGATATGGGTGCACCCAAATAAATGATAAATGTTTACTTAAATAAAGCTATTACATTTTATCCAACATTATATTAAATACTGTAGAATATTTTTTGTTCTTGTGTTTTTATTATTGTTTTGGCGGTCCAAACCTGGAGGTACGTAGGGCTTACTGCTGACTCTGAGCTCAAGGATCCTAGAGGGGCTTGAGGGAACATATGTGGTGCCAAGGATCAAATCCAGATCTGCTGATGAAAGCCAAGTATTTTACCTATTGCTCTGGCCACTAAATAACATATATTTGAAAAAAAAGGAAGAGGTATAGGAAGATGGGCTTACCACATGAAGGCAAATTAATTTTAACACAAATCCTATTATTGCTAATGAAATAAGCTTTCTAAGCCATACTGCTTTTCCATAGCATAGATGATTTTTTTATTGCAAAAATCAAATAAATAGAGTCAAAGTGATAGTACAGGGATTAATGCAATTGACTTGTATCCCATAAACCATGGTTTGAATCCCTGGCACTGTATATGGTCTTTTGAACAACTCCTAGGTTCATTCCTGAGCACTGAGCCAAGAAAAGACATTGAACACCACTAAGTGTAACCCCAGTTCAAAACAAAAACGAGAGCACAGAGATAGGTAAAGGTAGCACTTATCCAGAGCTATTGCCTCAGTCAATTTTAACCAAAGTTTGCCTTAACAGGTAACCACCAAAGAACAACTTAAAAGTTTAATTTTACATGTAGGTTATCTAGATATAAAATTATGCATAATAAATCGAATTAAAATAGTGTAATCTAAACTAAGACTACAGAAAAGTGTAATATTCTTTCATCTTATTAACTAATACTAATTTAATGTTTAAGAAATTACTAACAGTTCTTATTGCATAGCCAAGCAGTCATTAGCTTAGAAAATGTACATGGATTGATAAACACCAACAAGTCGAATAACATTCATATTTAAAGTGATATTATTTCAAATACTCTAAGTTTACTAATATACAATCAGAAATTTTGAATTGTTTTATAACAAGGTTGGTGGCTAGTTTAGATTTTCAAGAAGCATTTTGTTGACAAATACAAAGATTCTGAAAGCCAGCCCATTTTCAAAATTTTCAAAGAAAAATAAAATCATACTAGTACAAATATCAGTATAAATAAAAGTCCCGTTGATGAAAGGTGAAAAAAAAATTGCTCCAGAAGAATGAAAATATTGCCATTCAGATCAAAGGTAGAGAGGAAGAACAGTGGGAATATGATTTTGTTTCCTGTGGGGCAGATTTTATGAGTAGGGCACTGGCCTGAATAGTCCCTAGTAAAATTGAGTTTTTATGAGAAAACTGAAGAAAAATCAAGGAAGAAGAGGTTAGACTGGGACTAGTATTTTCCTGCAGATACCTTTGTCACTGACCTAGAAATCGGAAATTTATAAATTATAAACTAAAGTTTTCAAACTTTTGATATAAATTAAAGCTTTCAAAACTTTCCTTGTGTTGATATTGTTGGAAAAGAAAAACATACAACATAAAGTTATTCATTCCAGTATCACAGAAAGACTAATTCCTCTCACAGCAGTTTCAGCTTCATTCCCAAAAGGAATTTGAAACCCAACTAATGGAAGTTGTGGTTATCTCTATTATAGTAATTGGCATTGAAATCCTCCCCTTCTTTCCCTATAGTTTTGATTGAATATAATATATATAGGCATATAATATGCCTATATATAATGTGCCTATCATGTACAAATACATATACCTATGTGTACATATTGCTGATGTATATATATGTTTATAAACCATATTATACTTTTATCCACTGAGAATCCTTGAAAGACATGGATTTAAAAGGTGATATATCAGGTTACAAATAAAAATAGCACTGTCTGTGGCACTGTCCTCCCTCTGTTCATCGATTTTCTAGAGCGGGCACCACTAATATCTCCATTGTGAGACTTGTTTTTACTGTTTTTGGCATATCAAATACATCACAGGTAGCTTGCCAGGCTCTGCTGTGTGGGTGAGATACTCTCGGTAGCTTGCTGGGCTCTCTGAGAGGGGCGGGGGAATCGAATCTGGGTCAGGCGTGAGCAAGGCAAACACCCTACCCACTGTGCTACAGCTCCAGTCTACAGTTTGTCTCTTCTAGAAATAAAAATAAATCCATTTTACTCTTCCATCATCCTGGGCCTTTAAACTTTCTTTAAGTAGTGATTCTCAGCTTTAATATGCATATGAATCTGCTGGGGATCTTGTTAGAATTACAAATTATGATTCAATAGTTATATTTAGCACTTAAGGTAGACGTATTTTTGTTGATACTGATGTTGTTTACCTGCATATAGCCCACTGAAGTTGGTAGACAGGTAGGAACAATAAATTGCAAAAAGTAATAAAACAAAGTTGTGTCCTTCACTAATAGCTTAATGCAACAGTCAGTCAGCTGAAGAGCCTATCAGATAATGCATAGAGTCCAAGCAGGTGGAGATTGGATATGTAGGTCAAAGAGTCTCAATTTGCTCACTGATCGCCTTCATCTGAAGTCAGTCACTCCTCAAATGATATTGCTAAGAAAACTAAGTATAGAACAAAATTGCAGGTGGAAATAAAGAGAATTTTGTGAAATAAAACTTCAGTGAGCAATTTGGGTCAGCAAGGACATAGAATATAAGGCACAGTTGTGGTATTTGAAATCATTTCATTATAGATTCTCTATAAAATTATTCAAATCAGGTTTTAGTTATATAATTTGTTTCACATATGCTCTCTATTTCTATTTTCACAAGTGCAAACATTTTGAAAACCTAGCTTAAGAAGATTTAAGTTAGTTTAAATTTGTTTTTATGAAGAACATTCTATTATGTACAACAAACAACTAAACTTTAGTTGCTTGGCAGCACAGCCTATCACATAAGCTTTCAGGATTTTTTTTTTGTCTCGCTTCATGAATTTGTGTGTCATCCTTGCACAGGGGTCATGTTAATTTTCTCTGTAACATTCCAATTTTAGTATATGTGCTGCCAAAGTCAGCACATCTTACAGTATATTGCTCAATATGCCACAGATTCCAAACACTACACTAGGCTCATGTATTTTCATTTCATCATTTCATTTCATCATCCTGTTATTCGTCGATTGCCTCGAGCAGGCCCCAGTAACGTCTCTTTCATCCTAGCCCTGAGATTATATTCAAGGCTATTTAGGAGAATGAGACCCATCATTGTTACTGGTATCTGGCATATTTGGTACGCCACGGGGAGTTTGCCAGACTCTGCCCTGTGGGCAGGCTACATTCGATAGCCTGCAAGTTTGTCCAAAGTAATGAGACAATAAGATGTCAAAAAAAAAAAAAAGTTCTGATAAGATGTCGCGCGGCCGGTGGCTGGTCCTGGAGGTCTTCGGCTGCCGGAGCCCTGGTCGGGGCGGGGAGGAAAGCTCAACCCGCTCCCCTCCAAGGGACTCCGGGAAGGAACACCCAGGCGCGGGGGCAGAGACTGCACTGTTCTCGTCCGGGATCTGGATTTTATAGTCTCTGAGTCTTGGCCGCTGATGGGATTACACGGCGCCAGGGGGCCAGGTGGTGGGTGTGACCCCCGCCTACTGGAATTTGGAGGATCTGGGTGGAAGATGCTCGACTCCAATTCGAGTAGGCTTGGAGGTCTCGGCCCCAGAACCCGCGTGGCTTTGTCCCTCTGCCAGTACCTTCATGTGTGCGGAGAGTGGTCTCAGCATGGTGGTGGCTGGTCCTGGAGGTCTTCGGCTGCCGGAGCCCTGGTCGGGGCGGGGAGGAAAGCTCAACCCGCTCCCCTCCAAGGGACTCCGGGAAGGAACACCCAGGCGCGGGGGCAGAGAGGCTCATGTATAAATATATTCAATATTCTACTTAAATATTTTTCTGTTTTTAGGAAATTAGGAAAGAATTTACAGGCCTCTAAAACAGTCTGTTGTCCTGTTGTACTGAGACTTGAGATCCAGATTTGGAAGACCAATTCCAACGTGAGCTATAGACCCAGAAGTATGTAAACTTACTTTTCTAAAAAATAAGTTAAACACAGTTTACCCTGTACCATATTAGTTTAGCAGGCCACATCTTGGCTACACTGTTCTTTACAAAATCTTATAAAATCTCCAAACAAATCTATATATTTTTTATTTTGTGCTGCAGAAAAGTCAATTTCTCTTTAGCACAGAAAAATGCATAGATGAATGAATAAATTATATAGATTAAACCTGGATCTTTGCATATATTGCTTCTATTCCTTATGTTTTTCTTTCTTTTTTATATCAGTCAGGGGAAATTACAACTTTACATTTTTCCAGGCAGAAATTTTATTAGTCACTATTAAGTATGTTTTTCATGAAATATATTCAGTCTATAAAAATATTATAACACATATCTGGAATTTTTGTTAGTAACTTTTTTGTTACTATTTTTGTTAGTAACTTGTTCTATCATGACATGATAGTCCTGCCTAGAATAGTATATTAAAGATCTAAGTGATCGTTATATTTTAGATAGTGCCATTTTCAACATAAAATAATTGTTACCTGACTAAACCATAAGTCAGTCAAAAAAAAATCTTCAGTGGTTCCCAATCTTCCTGAAATTAAAGTCAGATATTTATACAGTTCTCACCTTAGTTCAGTGGACCTTACATAATTGTTTAATTTTGCTGCACCGAGGTCGTCAGTCTTATTGTTTTCAGTGATCACATTCCTGGTGAGACTCTGGTAACCACAAGTATTGCCACAGATTAAACAGAATTGGCTGCATGCAATGCAAGCATTCTGCCTACTGAACTTTCTCCATCCCTCTTACAAGTTATTTTTTACTTTTCAATATAGCAAATTCAAAATTTATGCAGTAAAAATAAAGTATTGAATTTTGATTTTTATACTGATTTTCTGACAGGTGGTTTAGTCACTTTGTTAGTCACTATAAACCTCTTCCTCTAGCTGCTGGGTATGGCAGTGAACCCGTTTCCTTTCAGCCATGGTATCCAGAAGGGAAACAATCGAAACTCTACAATGTTCTAGGTTACTAGCATTTATTGGATATTGAGTTTTGTGTTTAACACTCCATCATACAGCAAGACACCCATGAGTATAAGAAAGGTTTATCATTTTATTATAAAATATATTTTTGTTAGATAAACCTCTCCCACTCTGTGCTAATGAAGCATTCTCAGCATATTTAAGGTAGTAACAATTAAGTCATTATGCTCAGTAATTAAGTGTATCAAATATATTACATAGCTATAATGTTTTCAACTGAGATATGGTTTTCATCTGGACACACAAAGTTAAGGGATATCCTCATTATTCTAAAATGAGGGAATCTTCTCCTTGACACTCTATAAGTATTTTTACCCAGCAGTAGTCTAAAAGCTATTTCTCTAATAGACACAGAAGACTCCCAATTTATATTTACTTTGTGTTCTTAATCTCAGTGCCCTTCTTCGAAAGATAAAACTCCCAGATGCTACTTTATCACCTTTGGGTTGTGTTCAAATACTACTCTCTCACTTCATCCTTCTCTACCCACTATACTTAATGATGCACATAAAGCATACGTGCTCATATTTTTATTCTTTGTTCAGCAAGATTTTTCCACATTAATATCTCTTAGTTTAATTTCTGTATGACAAAACTAGAAATTGTGATTCTTATAATTAATTTATTTTAAATTAAATGAGTATTTAAAATTTTGTAAATATATTTCCTTTTGATCTTACCAGCCATTAGAAGAAAGCTTCTAGTTAGAAGCATATTTCCCATCAGTGAGATGATACAATTTCATTACTGGTCTTGCATTTTTACTTCAAGAATTACTCTTTTTTACCTCTATTTTTTTCTTCAAATTGATATTTTATTTATGTTATTATGCAAATTTTACATTTAAATAAGAACTTTGTGATAAAACGCATGGATATATTTAGTCATATGCTTGCTCACACACATTTTTGTTATATACATATACATATACATATACATATACATATACATATACTTGTGTACATATGGCAACAGATAGGTAGTTAGACCATTTAAGCAAAGTAGGAAGAAATTCATAGAACTTCTCAGTAGATTGGAGAGTATTCTTTGCACTCAGAATAACTAGGTTTAGTCTGTGAAACTACATGAACCTCTGAGCAGAGAACAAACTGGGGGAGCCTCCTGAACACTGCCTGATATGACATACACACACACGTACACACACGCACACACACGTACATGCACATTCACATCGCACACACGCACACTATTCGGTAGCCAAGTCATTTTTCGCTTTAGCTTTTCATTTTATCTTTTGATTTTACTGTTCTCTCTCTCCACCCTCCCCAAAGTTATCTTATTTTATCTATTGAAAGACTTAGTGCTAAGTATGGCAAATGTATTTGTTCATCATTTACTTAAAAAATGTCCTACTGTGGGCCGGAAAGATAATACAGTGTGTAGGGCATTTGCTTAGGATGTGATTCACCCAGATTTGATCCCCAATATCACATATGATTTCCAAGCCTCACCAGGAGTGATTCCTTAGCACAATGAGTAAGGTCTGAGGGCTAGCATGTGTGTACCAAAAATTAAACCAAACAAAAGAAAGCAGCAAGGTAAAGCTACTCTTGCCCTAAGAAAAGGTCATTGCAACATTGTTTTTGTGATCCATGCGTGCGTGCGTGCATGTGTGTGTGTAATACAAAGAAAGGACCGAGTTTTAGGGGGCAAACAACTATCTAAGGTTGAATGAAAAAGTTGAACATATGCACATACCACTCATATTCATTATTACAAATTTATTTATATGCACAAACAAACAGACTTTTGGTTTAGAATGTAGAATTCAACAATAGGATAAATTTACCAATGATTAGTGCTTTCTCTTATGTCTTTACAGTTGCCCACAGGTAGTCATTTTATATTGCATTATCAGATATTCATGGAATCATCTTAGTATCTAGCACAGGGTTAGCAATCTTCTGATTGTTCTGCCTTAGACTTGAGAAATGACTTGCAGTGGAAAAATAAAACCAGTTCCTTTTCATAATGCTTCAGTTTAAATGTAAAACAAGGTTTCTTCTTTTTGAAAAACTTGCTTCGGAGTAGAGAAAATATAATCTGATATATAGCAATTTATGATATACACACACATTTATATGTATATCATTACTAAGTAGCATAGAGGAAAGTAAAGGAACCTATGACACCTGAGAATATATCACATGCATATTTTCTTATTGAAAATAGATTAATCCAAATGACATTTCTTCAGTTTTCCTCAAGACTTTTCGTGTAATTTTGGCACATTCGCATTTATATATTCCTAAGAAAACCTGAAACGTTTATAGAATAGTCATAAAAATACTAATTTTTGTAATGTATAAGTTATAGGTTGTGCATTTCTAATAATATGCAGATACTTTTATTTGATTGTTATTTACATACTGCTTTATGTGAATGAGCAATTAGAAATATTAAAAAACTATAAGATTAGTGAAAGAAGTAGATGAATAATAATAATATCATCTCTTCATTTTTTTTACAAGGGAACATAATTCAGAAAGTAGTAAGTAAAAGAATTTATTCAACACTAGTCACCTTATACATAATTTATTTTCTTTACCCCTAGGCTGAGAATACTCCACTCAAACAATCATTCTATTATAGCAAAGAATTAAAAGATCATGTAATAGATGTTAATAACTAATTGTATATGTTAAGTGTTTTCCCTCTTGTTTGGGCATATTCAATGAAAACGGGACCTTTATTACTTTACAATTCTATATATTTACCTCCGCACCACTTGTCATTTAAAGGGAGCTCCTTTCTTGCCAAATTCATCCTGGTTTCAGCAGTCATTCTCAGATGATTTTCAGAGCCTACTGATACTGGCAGAGCCTTCTATGTTAACTATTTTCACTCACTGAACTTGGTAAATTTCCTGTATTGTCTTCTCCACTGTCTTCACTGTGTTCCTGCTGTTCAGAGAGTGAATCTTTGTAGGAGGCTCTCTGAGAATCTCTGATGAATTA